AATAATAAATGACATTCCCATTAACCATGAAACCCTCAATGTTATATTCGAACAATAATAAATGACATTCCCATTAACCATGAAACCCTCAATGTTATATTCGAACAATAATAAATGACATTTTAGTCAACAGGAAAACCCACAACATTATATTTGAACAATACTAAATGGCATTCCCATTGACAAGTGACCCCACAACGTTATATAAGAACAATACTAAATAACAACCTAATGAACAAGGAAACCCAGAACGTTATATTTCAACAATACTAAATGACATTCCCATTAACCATGAAACCCTCAATGTCATATTTGAACAATAATAAATAACAATCGTAACAACAACTAAACCCACAACAATATATTTTAATAACATTCCCATTGACAAGTGAACCTACAACGTTATATTTGAACAATACTAACTTGACAACATTACAGTCAACAGTAAATCGCACAACATTCTGTTTGAGAGGTTTATCAAACAATGAAAAACCAATCCGTCAACGCTCTCTATTGGTACAGCAATTGACAGAATTCCAGTCAAAAATAATTTGCACAACGTTCTCATTTAAAAAGTCTAATAAATAATGGAGGAAAAAAAAAGCCTCAAAGTTGTGTTTCGGAACACTAAAGTGAAAACTACCGAGTTCTGAGTATAGATTAAGTTTTTCTATTTGTAACTCTATACAATACTTTGACAGAAAACTATCTGACGTGTAATAATCCAATTCAATCAGCCAAAAACACTACATATTAGAATATTTGTTTTGTCTTTGTGCGTTACTAAGACAGGTTAAGGTTAAGAGAGATCTAGGAAAGAATGGTGGAATTTACAAAGATAATTAAAATTGTTTCGTCACTTAGCATTTTTTATTTTTGCTATTCTATGCTATTTTGCTCAGACTGTGAATTCGACGTCCCACTGTCACTAAAACGATTTCCGCATTTTTCAGCCATGTGTGTACTATCAGAATGACAGGCAAGTCTAACTATTCGTTCAGACAACAGTACATTTAAAGTTGGCGGTGTGTACTGTTCGCTAGCTGCTATCAGTTTAAAATTAAGTACGTGAAACAAAAAAACTTGTCATTAATTAAAGTGTATTTATGGTTAAGAACTCGTCATTAAATAAAGTGTATTTATGGTTAAAACTC